CTATCTATCTATCTCCCTCTCACGTCATTTTCATTATAAACCCGCACTTGACCACTCGTCAGTTTAACCAATGCTTGCTCACTGGTCACAGTCATGCAAAATACGTATCATGGAACAAGGCCTTAAGTCTCCATAATATATTACTTTCGCTTTACCTCACGGTTCCTAGGTTCTCGAATGAACCCATTGGCTCTCCTGAGTCTTTGTTACTTCTCTTTATTCTTCATTATTGATACGAGAAGATCTTCTAAAGATATGTCCAGAAGTTCCGGAATGTGCCTGGCACATGTCTTCTACGACCCATAGACATAAACAAATAAATGATATGGAAACAGTTTCAGTTTTCACAATAAATCCTTCGTACAACGACGCAACAAACAAATCAGAAACAAAACATAGCCAAACAAAACAGATCAGAACAAATCCCTCCCATGACGACGTTCCGAAATCAAAGCACACATCAAAATAGAACAAAGTAGAACAAACCTTTCACATCGTCGCATTCCAAGACAAATCAGAAACAACAAAAAACATTTAAAAAAACAAAACAACCCAGATCAGAACAATTAATTAATCCGTAGCACCACCTTATTCCAATCTAAAAACGAAACAACAACTAATAATGCAGAAGACAAAACAAATCAAAATGAGGACAAAAAAACAAATCAAAATGAGGACAAAAAAACAAATCAAAATGAGAAGAACTCCCTCAAATTTCGACGTTTCCTCCACAGACCATCTTTCTACGATGTTGAGACTCGTGGCCTTGACCTTGTGCTTGTGTCACGTGACGCTGACCGTACAGGCAATTTCCTTAGTGCGCGTGACGTCACCAACCAGCTCGTACGTGGGCCAGGCAGTGACCACTGAGGATGGGCGGAGCTTCCACGCCTTCAGGGGCGTGCCCTACGCCGAGCCGCCAGTGGGAGATTTGAGGTTCCGGAAACCTGTGGCCAAACCGCCTCTTGGTGAGAGCGGAAACTGTGTGTGCGTCAGTCTGTCTATCTGTCTGTCTGCCTGTGTCTGTCTGTATACGTCAGTATGTGTAGGTCTGTCTGTCTGTCTGTCTGTCTAT